TCTGACAAAATCTTGGCAACTGCCTTTTTGTATTTTCCTTTCTTGTGATTACAGGAGGATGAAGGCGAAGACCCCAAAAAAAGTGGAAACAAACTAAGCAGAGGAAGTACTCACCGGAATTCCACCGGCAAATGCAGCTAAGTAGTAAAGCAGCTGCTTCGTGAATTGTTTTTGGTTCTTGTCTTCAAATTATCGTCAAAATCCAATTACGGAAGCAAAGAGGAAACAAATTTCAGTAAAAAAAAAAAAAAACTTAATTAATTACCATTAAGATTAACAAATTAGAGAGAGACCGGCAATGGCGTTATAGAAGTCGCGGCCGAGGAAATTGAAGCAGACGCTGATACCGGTAGTGGCGAGAGTGAGAGCTAAGACTACGGCCAGCCGGATCCTCGCTTGCACCTTGTCATCGGAGGACCAATAGGGAGCCGCCACCTTCCAGAATCTTCGGAGAAGCGGTCGCAGTTTAGGCACCTCCCTTTGCTGCAATAATGCGACCAGCTCATGAGGAAGAGGAAGAAGAAGAATAGTATCAAATCAAAGAGAAAAAGTAAAGAGAGAGCGGACCTTTTCTGTAGCTGGCGGAACTGGCGCCAGCACTGTAGAGCCCGAGGCGGATGCACAGCGCCCAGTTGATGATTCGCCGTCGTTGCTCCTCTCTCTCCTCCTCATCATCCAATTGCAGCCGCTTCTACTAGTGGTGGACATGGTGGACAATGATGGAAATCTGGAGAAGAGGAGCCAATGAGCATGCGAGGTCGTTGCTTCCCTTTCGACTCCGACGCTCACTCTCACTCCAATGTGGCGGCAATGGCCGTAGTTGGGGGAGTTATAGGCGGAGGAGGATCAGAGCAAGACGGTGCCTGCATTATCATTTTTTCCATTTGTCTTCTCTTTCTGTTTAATTCTCCAGTGATTGAACTGATTTTCCTTGGGATTTTCCTTCCATCCAAACAAGTCCAGTTGTGATAGTTTGATTAGCATTGCAAATGTCAAATGAAATGAGTATCTACCGGCAGACTGCAGTGCAGATTCTCTGAAAATATAAATTAACCATTTCAGCAGTTTTCATCCAACGACTGAGACCAAGTATACAACGCCACCGCTAACGTACGGTAATCCGTCCTCCTGCATATCAGCATATCCGCTACGTAAAATAAATTGTCCGAGCAAAGCAATTGATATTAAAATATTATTTTTTAAAATTGAAAAAATAATTTCTGTTGGCTCCTTTTCTCCGTCAATCTCCTGGCTCGTTTTCTCCGTCAATCGATCTCTGTTGACCTCGTGTATCTTTCTCTCTCGAATTCTCAGTTTCTAGCTCCCATCAATTCACCAACCTGATGGCAAGTTTCTCTCTCATCGCTCTCTCTCTCCCCTCTTTATATCCACAAAAAGATTAGTTCTTGAAATTCCTGAAGCTCGAGTTTCTTTCCGTGAAGTTGAAAGCATTTCCCAGGATGTAATTTTGGGCTTGCAAATATGGTATTCGTACTGTGACGTTGAGAGGATAAGTGGGTGATTGGTGGATTTTGGGTTCTGGGCAGCTGTAGTTTAGCTCCATTGATATGCTGAGTTGCTGAGAAGAAGAAGCACAGACGGGCAAGAGAAGAAGAATGTTTAAAATTGACTTATTCGAATTAAAAATCAATAAATGTAATCTTTGAATATTATTGTGTAAAATCAATATTATCATTCCGATAAAATTTTATCAAATTTTTTGTTACTAGTTGATATAACACCTATGTAAACCCACAAATCTAATTAAATACTACCACATTTAGACCCCTCACATTTATGCTTATGTGTTGCCACACTTGGGCCATGTAGACGAAAAAAATTAATTATTACTTTGAAAAAAATAATTTATTAATTAAAAAAATGTTCATCTTCTTCTTTCCCTCCACCGGAGCATCCACCTCCATCTCCTCCTTTCTCCATCTCCACCACCCATTCAAACTTTAAGCAACCACCTCCACTCCTTTCCCTTAGAATTCTCAACCCAAATGATTTCCTCAAAATTGGAGTCGAGCTCGAGTGGGACGAACCTATATTCTGAGCTGGACGCCACACTCCATCGATCACCCTAAAATCCCTAATTCTTATACCACAAACCCATATTCTCAAGATCCCCAAATTTACACACCATCGACAACTTACGAAAATTATCCGTGGGTTTCCACTTCCGAGCAACATCTCCAACTTCATGATTCCCCTCGGTTTCTCCTCACGCAATTGATCTGGGCCTCCATTCGACGGTCCAACCCTTATGAACAATTGTCAATGAGCTACCAGATTCAAATGAGTTTTGATTTTAATTAAAAGGAAGATTGACTTACAATCCCATTTGGTGTCATATAATCTTATTTGCTACTGTGGTTGTTGCAATTGATGTTTTCAATTTGCTGTTGGGAATGCATCACATGACTATGTAGTTGCCATGGAATTCCAGGAGGATGACCCGCAGCACTCACCGTCCTCTCGTCCAATTCGTCATCGTAATTCCTCTGGGATTTCTTTCTGGATTCATGGGATCGTAATCCCTCGTCGTCCCTCCCGTAATTTACCCTTCTGGGATTTTTGAGTCGCAAATTAACTCTTAATTTTCTTTTATTTTTTAATCTACGTGGGCTTCACATGTGTGTCATATTAGCTTATTAACATAAATTTTGACGGATATAAATGACATTGATTTGCAGCATTCACATGTGTGTCATATTAGCTTATTAACATAAATTTTGACGGATATAAATGATATTGATTTGCAGCATTCATATTCAGAGACTAAATTGATCGATTTTCAATTTCCAAAATTATCTTAATTGGATGATCGATTTCAGATACCATTTGTGATAAAAATGCATAGAATTTTAACCAACAAAGAATTTTAACCACGAATATAAATTTTCATAATTTTAACCAAAACTTAACATAAAAGTACTATGATGCTCTTTACTAGAGTTTATGGTTCTATCCCTTTTCCAAATAAAAACTCTTCTCTCATTTTTCTTATTCCCTATTTCAAATCCTAATTTTCCTTGCCTTAAAATTGGCTAAGGAATTAAGTACATTGTTTTGGTGTGCGTTGTGGGTTTGATTCGGATGTTTTTGTTGTTAATTCTTTGATTACTTACTACCCGAGGTGTGATGAGCGGTTTGGCGAGTTTTTTTTTGGGTCAGAGGAGATTTTTATTACCACAAAACACAACTTACAACATGGGCCCAACACAAACTAAATTACAATAAAAAAAAACCCCAAAACAAAGAAAAACCAGAAAAAAGGCCCAAAAAGGCCCAGAAACCAACAAGCGACCTCCAGAAACTTCCACAACCATCACTACCCTCGAAAACAGGTCATGCAGTCGCTTCCCATCCTCCGTCCAGTAGTGCCTCCCCTAATGCCACTTCCAACCCTATAATTGCTCAACAACCGAAGCACAGCCACAAACTAGAGATAATCAACAACCAAGTGAGTGGAGCTGATTATTGAAAGGAAGTTCGTGGATACTCACGAACAACACTATCGGAATCGATAGACAACCCGGAGAAAGTGGTGGTGGTTGTAACACCCTAGCCGGTGAAGACATTAGAGCTCTACACACAATCTCCCAAAGAAACATGGTTGACAAACGGATCAAGGGTGAATAGAGGAGAGGTTTACCTTCAAGAGAAAAGGAACTGGGAAAGCCAAAGTGAAAATTGGGGAGAGATAGCAGCAGAGGCAGGGAGCGAAGAAGGAAAAGAAAAAAGGAAACACACGGCAACCGACCCGGGCCAAAGCTAGGGTCAGTGCCACCAGAAAAATCCAAGATTGAAAGACTCACAATTAGTGAGAAACACTCTCAGGACAGAGAGAAAAACTCTCACCTTGGCGAGAGTTTTGTTTGACAGGATGGCAGAAAGAGAGATTGTGTAGTGGAATTCGATGATTGCAATTGCTTTGGAAAATTATGAACGCAAAAGTGAGTCAAACCCAATTACAAAGAGGGAAAATGGCTTGTCACTTGTGCTCTTTAACCTCTTCTTTTTTCTATAACCCCCAAACTCCCTCCCGCTCTCTCCCTTCTTCTTAGCAGACTAATTTCCAACTAAGAAGCTATGCAGTTAACACCCAGAGACTCAAGTTTCCTTAACTGTAATTTCAGTCATGATCCTCTCTGCAAATACACCATGTTTCTTTGCAAGAACCAGTTGTAGGATAAGCCCAAAACTCTAAAGCTCCAAAAATTGAAAATATTCAGAGCTCAGTTCGAAATTCCTGGTCTTTGTTGAAATGCTACATCTGGGTCAGGAGAGATAGGACAATATGCCGGAACACAAGTGATACATCATGTGTCATTATTTAAGTTGTGAGGTATCTGTGTTAAAAAATTAACAAATCAAAAAATAAAACTTATCACGGCATACATAATAACACGTGGTGTACCACGCAATGACCAGACACAATGAAAATTTTCTCCTGGCTTAGAAGCTTTACAACTGTCAGCCTAACAAATGGTGTGAACATAGTAGAGCAAAGTAAATAGGTGAGAACTCCAACAAAAGGCATTATAGTATTTTCACTAGAAATTGCTGCCCGCGCGTTGCTGCGGGATTAGAAATTGTATGGAAGATTGATAAGCTGATTCTAAATCATCAAGTTTCCAACTGTGATGCATGACAATCAATTGAAACAATTGAAACGTTTTCTCTAAATTATTAAATAGCATTTAGCACAAACTGACTTGCAAATTCAAATGCAAGAATGCAAATGAAGATAAATTGTCAAATTCCATACATGTCAAACTTTATTTAGGAAACTGAAAACCATAAAAATAAATTGATAAACCCACAAAGATAGTTCACAATTATAAATGTTGAATGCTGATAAAATATATAATACGATGATCTCGGTTTCTCTCATAATTATAGAATGTTGAATGCAAACAACATACCCAAATTACCAATCAAACCAATCAAAATTTCCACTCCTTGGTTAATATCAGAGAATGCCAAATCCAAAGCTATGAACCCCACACTGTCAACTGATTCCTTACAAATTAATGGCAAGTATTGTTATACAATTCCAATAATGTTGTTCGAGTACTCCTTCAACATGCATCATTTGGTATATCCATCCCTCTCTCTCTCTTTCTTTCTCTCTCTCTCTCTCTCTAAAGTCATTGTTAACAGTAATTATATAATAACAGGCTAAAAGAACTGTCAACTATGTTATCAAGGAAAAACAAATGTCAATGAGAAATGAAGATAAAGAGCCTTTACTGGTGTACTTGAGAAATTGAGAATCATTATCTGCAAACGACCTCCGATCGGATCACCTCTAAAATTCTAAGGTGCTACAGCTACTTTAACCCTGCAAGAATAGTCATTCTTCAATATTTAAGCAAGATTTGAAACAGGGCATTAAGATAAGGTTACAAATATAGTAACCTCCCAATCGAGTATTTAAATGGAAGAGACATGTGAAGGCAGTCAAAGAACCCAAAAATATCAATGTTTCAAACGAATATCTGTCACAAAATTATTGCACTCGAACTACCCTAATAACACGTCATGGGCATACTCCCATGATTATCTGAAAAGATATCGTTGGTTACCGTTGACAATATATGGCATTCTCTTAAATTGAAAGCGTAAACAATGAAGAATGCACATGAACAACGCACAATTTCTTTGCACAACAGTTTTACAATGCAGTAGTTTTGAATTGGAAATTCAAAATGAACTTAGTTCAATCTACGAAATTCAATAATTTAGTCAAATCAAGACAAATGAGCAAAATTGTCTTATATTAAACACATAGTTGGAGCTTGGAACGCATAAAATGAAAAGAACATTAGACCATGCTTTCCCACTAATTTTCAAATGTCTCTGGGTTAATTTGAAACCAATATTTATCCAATTAGAAAGTGTAGAGTCATTGATATGTAAATTGTTTAACCTTGAGGCTTGCGATAACCACAAATGTTGACGGGACTAATTGTTGCAACACAATGGAACTGAAGTTCTTTGCAATATCAATCCATAGTGTAACTCTTTTTTTTTTTTTTTTTTTTTTTTCTCTTTCTCTTGAATCAATAGACATAAACAAAAAAAAGTGAGTAAGTAGTATTGTATTTACAACATTTGGAGATGATTTGTCAACATGCTTTTACCTAATATTTTGAATGTAGATTTAAACTTGTTTTCAAGCCTTCTAATCAGCCACTTTTTGTTCTAACTCTTGTATTGCATTAATGTGTCCAGGAACATCTTGTAATCTCAAAGAAGCTTATGATAATTAATATAATAAAACCTAAACAAAATACCAAATTCAACTCCAATATAACGAAAAACTAAATTAACTTGTTGTGAATTGATGGCTTACTTTTTACAGCTATTCTGTAATTACAAATTATTCTGTTAAATTACGGTGACTGGGAGATGTTGAAGCTGCATAAGCTATTTGTATTATGCCTACTATAATCAACCAGGGAAGAATCCTTTGTAACCAAATAGAGGTATTGGAGGACTGATACCCATGAAAGCTGATATGCATTCTATAAACAACATAACTCTACCAAGTTCACAATTCTCATAAATTCCATTAAAAAAATCTACCAAATGGAAAATTCACTTGGAATTTACTGTTAAGCCAAACTACCAAGAAATTAGAACTTATTTTGTAAAATAATTAACCTTTTCAAGTTGAAGCAGCTCCAATCTTGGGGTTGGGGACCTCAAGCATTGTGGCAACTCCTCTGTTCTCATCATCCAAAATTGCTCCTTTTTTATAGAGTATCCATCAATGCATTGCTGCTCAACACCCAAATCATCAAATGCGAGAAAACACATATTCTAAGGTTTAAATGGAATTCCACAAATTCCCCAAATTGGCAACTCTAGAATTGTAAAGAAACTGTCTTTATCAAATCTTCAATTAATTATAGCAAACCCAAAACTCAAAAAGTTTTAATCAGCTTACATGACCACTCATCAGCAAGCTCAGAGCAACAAAACCCAACAAACCCAAAATATTCGAATAAATCCCACACAAAAAAAATTTACTTAAAAAACCTACAAACAACAAATAACTCATTACTTTTTCATACGAATTCGAACAGAGATATAGAACATACCGATTTGAAGCGAGAAATCTCAGTGAAAATCCTCGAGGAAGCCACGTCGATCTCAAGAAGCAGAGAAAATTAGGGATTTTTTTTTCTGACTCCAAATCATCCTTAAGACGGTGTTATTCCATCGAAAAAGAGGGAAAAAAAAACCAAATTAGGGATTTTTTTCAATGAAGAAAAAGAGAAAAATAAAAGAAGAGAAAAGAACATTAGGCTTTTATTTCAACTTTGGGGTTTCCAATTTCCGATCTCTCTAGGCAGAGGAACAGAGATAAAGCAACAACAGTAGATTGAGTAAGGGGAAAAGCGGCGGGGGTACTTGCCAAGCTCGAATGTTTGTGCATGCAATTAGAATAATTATTTATCATATGTTTTGATGATGATTATGTATAATTACCTGTTACCCCAGCGAGGGTGAAGCTCAAGATTCAGAACCTGTTCTTCAAAGGTGATGTTGGCACGACGGACATCGGGGAGGAGATAATTGAGCCACCGTAATCTGCAGCTCTTTTCTTTTCAGACATGGGTTTGGTTGCAAAATTGAAAACACATGGTCAACTCGTTAGGCGATAATTGGTAAAGGCAAGAGGGATCTGAGGAAATATAGAGATCAAAAAATACCCAGGAGAAGGAGCGGAGGAGAAGGAATGAGGGAGGAGCCTGGAGGGGGAGAAGTTGTCCAACGGAGGAGAAGGGAGGAGATGCCGTCGAACGGAGGAGGATGTTGTGGTTCGCAGTTCTGAGAGAGTGAACCGGAGAGTTTCATCTGGAAACAAATGGAAAAGCTTCGTTCTCGAAACAAATGGAAAGGCCGAGCTTTTACATTCCCACGATGACCAACACGTGTACAGAAGGGGTAAATTAGTAAATATACTGTACAACGGAAGGAAAAAGGCTAAATATGCCTAACAACTAAAGGGCAAATCCGTCAAATCACTGTTAATGAACAGTGTTTATCAACTGAGTTTTAGTATATATAATGTCAAGTTTTGGTTAAAATTGTAAAAAGCTACAATTGTTGGTTAAAATTTTATTCATAATCTAAATTTTAGTTATTTTTCCAAATTTTCCAATGTTTGAGATTTGGACGTGGCAGAAGCCAGCATGATATCAGACCACTCAAGTTGAATTTCAGTCAATTATTGCCCCGTTGAGTAGTCTGGTACAATTGGGCCCACATGTAAACCAACTAATGGGGTTGGGGTGGAGAGGATGGTTGGGGTCTTGGGCTCCACTATGACATTTCGAGAGATTTACATAGGGGTAGAGCTGAAAATTACACCATGAAGCACCTCAAATACAAAGAATCTCGTTGTTTTGTAAGAGATGCCGTTTTTCTTTGTTTTAAAGATTAGTCTACGCCACTTAATACTACAGTTTAGTAGTATTTCTCTTCACTTGTAAGTGAAAAGTTTTAGATTCGATTCTCGCCAAAAGTGAATATGAACCACATTATTTTAGCCCATTGGGAGGAATAGCCTACCCTCTCCCCTTAGTGTAGATAATATTGTTTGTTAAAAAAAAATAAAATAAAAAATAAAAAATTAGCATACAAAGTCTTGAAGTTTCTCTTTCCCTCCTCCACAGATTGGATGAGTTCATATGAAAATGTCACAAACTGAAACGTACCTGGCCGAGAGCTCTCACCGGAGTAACTGATCATTCACGGATCAATTCGATGATGAAGCCAAACCTAATCGTAGGAGGGCAGTACCAGACTGTCACAAAATTGGATTAGAAAACGAAAGGTGCAGTCTTCAGAGGACAACGACGAGAATTTTGCAAGCCTCGGAAAAATAAATGTCTTTCATTAATCGATAGTTACGTTACTGGAGAGCTCATAATTCGTGCTACTACAATTTCTTCACGAACTCATTGGCCAATTTCACCCTAAAACCATGGATTATGAGAGGTTTCATTGTTTCAGGTTCGTCTTTCCCTCTTTGTAGTCTCCTTGCGTATAGGGTAGTTATTGCTTGCAAAATAAATGTCCCAAACTCTAACTTCAGTACCTTAATCATGGAGTTGTTTACACGCATTGATTCTTGGCTGCATGCATATATTGAAAATCATTTTGCAAAAGGAATGATTTCCGCACATATATTCAATTCAAACGTCAAAAATAAATGTAGTGAAGAAAAGGGATGCGCGGAAGTCACTTCACTTTTGCAAAGTCTACAACGTGCCTGACTGGAAGAGCTATAAACTGCTGCACAAACTGAAGGCAAATGGCTCGTATGTCATGTTTGAATGGTTTATAAGTGACATAAAGTGGAAAGTTTTGTACAGAATCTGATCATATATTTGTTAGACCAAGTCAGACTTATCAAGCATCCGACTCTAGTTCAAACTCTTCAGTTGGATATTCTAAAGTTCAACCGTTATCCAAGGACAAGTCTGCTAGGTCTAGGTTTCTTTTGAATGTTTCTTAGCTAAAGTCTGATAGCTTTGTATCATTTGAAATTCAAACTGTGCGTGTAAATGGGGTTTTTCAAAACCCTTCTGTAATCTGTAAACTGATATAAATACAAGCAATCCATCATTATCTGGATAGGAAAATTCAGCTGAAAACCTTAAGTGTTCTAAGTTTTACAATATAAACCCTAGAAAGTTTTGCAGAAACTACTTATGATACAAAGGACCCGAAAACACTTGCACCACACCAGAGAAACAGAACAAACAAGTGACCTAATGTAAGAAAAGGCAGCTGCAATTACACGTTTCATAAGTTGTATAATGTTTCTCGATTGATGGATTCAATGCTCCAATTGGGTTCGGCGCTACTGGGTTCCGCGGTGGAGATCCGTAAGTTCTGCTTGTGGAAGTCGTAGAGAGTTTGCCGGTGACCGACGCTTATATATGTTATGCCTGCCTTTTCAATCTGCTGATATAAATGAACCTGCCAACAGAAGCACAACCAGGACATCATCATTACAATTTATACCATGTTCTCTTCATAGTGATTCAACAACTATGCTTCTAGGCCTCCTGGGAAAAAATTGAAGCAGGTGGGCATCAGGTGCATATGATATCGAATGAGTGGTACATAACCAGCACTTCAAAAAGACTTGGAACGAGTTCATTAGCTTATGCGTGTTAACAGTTTATAGATTAGATCATTCATTCCAGGTGTTCGTGTGCATAGCGCGAAATTTGACTAAATGCGTTAGGGGCAATTCCTGAAGATGCTCTGGACCTGATAAGTCCAATACATGTGGGAAGGATAAGGAAGAACAAATGAATCTTGAAAGTCTGAAGAAAGAGCGTGGAAATACCTCATTGGCTTCATCTAAAGCACTGGTAGACTCATCCAGTAGAACCAATTGTGGTTTCGAAAGCAGTAAACGAGCAAATGCAAGGCGTTGCTGCTCTCCAAGGGAGAGAACACTAGACCATTCATATGAAGTATCCAAACTGTTGAATCGGGATAATATATAGCCAAGTCGGACATCCTCCAAAACCTGTATCAGGTCCTCTGTTGTGGGCTTACTAGGCTTTTCACTCAGATGTTTCGAATTTGGTGCCTGCGTCAAGAAAGGAAGTGACCCTGCAAGAATTACAAAACAATTGTCACAGTTGATCATAGCTTCCTCAGCAGTCAGCAGAGTACCATGTGGCAAAAGGAGTTGAAGTACATACCAGTTGGTTTAGTACCGTCCACTGTGGAAATTGCATCCTCAGCCCATATCGGATAAAGCAACTGTTGGCGAAGTGTTCCCAATACCATATATGGTCTTTGAGGAAGGAAAAATATGCCCTTATAGTTCCTATTTGAGGGCCTCCGAAGTTCCTCATATTTATCACTACCAGCATCTACCTCAAGAGCTACTACACCAGAAGAAATGGATGGTTGCTTGTCTTCTCCGTAGTTCACATGGAATATGATTTTTCCTTTTCCGGTACTAAAAAGACCAGACATAGCTCTTAACAAAGATGTTTTACCGCTCCCACTTGGTCCTGTTACCTGTTCAATTGGTCATGTACGGGAAATGGTCTTCAGCTCCCAGAAAAGATACATTAACTAACGATAAATTCAGGAGAACAATGGAGTTACTTACCAATAAATGCTCATTCTTGTTGATTACCAACGATAAATTCCTAACCAATGCAGTACCACTTGGAGTCTCCACAGTCAAGTGCTCTATATCCACTAACTTTTTTTGCTTTTGTATGGGAATGGATCCATTTGACTCCGGTTCTGGTAAGCTTTTAACGTTACTATATATCAAACTTATCCCTTCTGAGGGGTCAGAATGACGTTCCAAGTTGCTGCTATCCAACAGATCATCAAATTCACCTGTATGTTTCAGATATCACTGGCAAATATTATTGAAGTTGGCTTCAAATGACATCAACAAGTACAAAAAGTTATACAATGTGGGCAATTGATGTCTGTAACTATCTGTCTGAATCTAGGAAGGCAAAACCATGATTAGAAATTAAAATATGGATAAGAAAACATGTCATTATTTTGTCAATGTCTTTCTAGTGAGACTCCAATCCATATTCATTCAATTTTAAGACCCCGTTATATCACACAAATTAGACAGCTTCCTTATGAAGTTCTATCTGGTCAAGTCAAAGTTACGCAACAGATCCTCGTTATAACAGATATAGATACAGAGACAATACCAAGTCGATCAATTACAGCTGCAAATGCACTGATAGTATCAATTCTGTAGACAATAAGGGACAAGTCTGCAAGAATATGATTGAAAGCAGATGTTGACTGATCAATGACACCCAACTCAATTTTGCCTGAGAAATACATGGGGGCAACAACAGCAGCGGGAAGAATATGAATAAGATAGCTGTATCCACTGGTGAAAACCTCGAGATTTCTTGAACTTATCAACAATTTCTGCAAGGTTGGAATATGAGTTAAAACACAATCAGTTGGATGTGCATGGCATAACAATCAACACGCATAGTAATTTTAAATCAGTAAATATATTAAATGCAAACAGATCATGCTCTAGATCAAACCTCGCAGGCATTTGTTCCAAAAGTAACTTAAAAAAAAACAGCAGAGTCGTAAGCATGACTGTGTAGTTCTTAGGCATAATGATGCAGCTCAGTCTCTTGAATGAGCCACAGATATGACAGTGACATCAACAGAGATGAAAACCTAGGCACTGAAGTCAAAATATCAGAAACAACATGATCAATTTTGAAAACCGGAACATGATGCTTATCAGATTAGATACATGTATTTAACATAAAGTAACACATGTTTGGCATCGTCATCTTTCTTGCCTCTTGAATAAGGATAATGAGAGCCCATAAATGCTTGGCATCGTCATCTTTCTTACAAATTAAATTACATTTAAAAAAACAGAGAGTTTTTTAGTGGATGTTGAATTTATTTATAGGGTAATCAGTAGCATCACTAATCGATCCAATGACACCAGCACATCTGCCATAACTCAATCCAAGTGTATTTAAAGTAGATCATGTTGTTTAAAATGAGTACACACAAAAATATTGCGTAAAAATAAATTTGTGAGAGAAAAAGGAGTCTTCAGTGTAAAGGCTAATGACTGCATGTAGAGAAGTGAAAACAGAAGACGATAAATTTATTCATACACTCATATTTTTGAAAGCACTTGTGAAGCGTTGTAGCAGAAGTTGCATTTCATTTGCTTCACCACTGTAGAAAGCAATGGATTCAGCATTTTCTCTGATGCGCACAAGTCCATAACGAAAATCAGCTTCCTTTTTCTCTTGCATGAAGTTTAAAGAAACCAAATCCTGAAAAAACGGATACAATGTTTTCA